AGAGACAAGCTTTGTGCGGAGAATGGCAATACTCACTGATGATGCCGGCAAAACGTCTGATAATTTACCAAGTCCACGGTCTGGTGCTGGGAATTATGATAACTACTATGACAGAGGACTTCGGACAAGTGCATTCTACTAAGTCACCTTGACAACAAGATCAAGTTGTGACGAGGTTAACCCACTTCTAACATCCTAAATGTTTGGCAAGACTTATCATAAATTAATATAACCTCAAATCTTCAATAATGTATACGCGGTTGAGACTGTTAGCACGATTATGATTAAGAGATTAAAAGATTAAATGTTTGAAGCCAAGATTTCAGAAATATGTTGATGAAATACAAAGATCTTACCGACGTGCTCTTTCAGAATGGACGGCCAAATTTTTCAAGGTTAATGCTGCAGTTAATCGTAGATGTTTAGTGACAGGACCCTCGTGGGGAGGTAAAGATAGCGGCTCTGTTTGGAGAGTGATGCAACGCTGCAGAGCTGTCTGGAAACTACAGGATTGTTGTGTATGATTGTACTGAGCTTCTTCGACCCATGGCTTAGAGAATGTGGCGGAGGAATCCGCTACAGTTGAGGTCACGCAGGGCATTGGGGATTGCAAGAGCAATGGCAAACGAGAACTTTGGCTAAGACTAGCGTCTACAGGACTATTGAAAGGTTCGGTTCCAGTTGAAAGGCAGTCTGCACTTGTCCTATCAACGCCTGATAGGGGGCAATGGCTGCCAATCGAATTCCCTATCTTAAACAGCATGCTAGGTTGGTTGCAATGATGTTCACTGATGTGGCTTAGCAAGGAGAATGGACCTCGAAGAAGTCCAGCATCTGGGCAGCCAGACCAGCGACAAACCTAAAGGTCAAGGCATGGTAAATAGGAGGAAAAAGAGTGTTCTTGTATCGAGTAGCGTGAGGATTCATTAAATCCAGTCTCAATAAATTAATGTACTGATTGCCTAATCTTTTACCTAACTTAGGTTACTATACAGGCATTTTAACGAAAATTGAGGAAGCAATCGAATGACACATGAAATAAAAGTAAGCTGAATGATGATGTATCATAACCGGAACTAATTTTGCCTTTATATAATGTATAAAGTATTGGAATGAGAGGCATGTAAAGATAAAAAAGAAAATCCATGAACAAGAGTAAAAAATGCAGCGACACACTTATTCACCTACTTTGGAATTTAGACAATTTCTGGATGCTGAATAAGCCTAAAATTTTGAAAGTGTAAAGGATTAATTTACTGCGTTTCTGACATCCGATTATACGGAAAAAGAATAATTAACAAGTATTTTCCCTTTAATTTCATGTTTTAATTTATTCTATCTAATTTCCCTAAGTTTTATAATTGCAACATTATTTTTCCTCTCCACATGTTCCCCTCTGGTAACTAAAC